TGGCGCATCCCTAAACATCCCAGAAGATAGTGAATAGTTTTGCCTGGTAACTAGTGGTCAGTCTGAGAAGATTTCTGTTAACAGGCGCTGGCTAATAAACCTTGCTGATTGAACCTGCATGATCTCCAGGAGTTCTTTGGGCTAGGCCTGACACCGAGGTACCACCGTATATTGAAATAAGTGGTCTAAGATTCTATCCCTTGTGATTTTTTGGTTTTTTCTTATATTGATGTTTTTAATCTGTGCAGAATTGCTTGATGAGTGGGCAGTCTTAGAAATTGAAGAGGCAATATATTACATTATTTATTAATTAAATAGTAATAAAAATAAAAGAAGCAATAAATCTTACTGAATAACATACTGGTAAGGCTTAGGACTTACTCTTCTAATTCACATTTTTCTCCCCATCTCCATTCCCTACCTTGCAGCCATAGAAATATATCCTGCTTAGCACAATATTTATGTATTTACTTATGCTACTCTGAAGTGACTTTGGGTCATCTGACTCAATAGCATCTCTCAAAGCATCTTGTTCACTGCTTCTAGATAAGGCAAACTGAGATAAAATTTACACATAGAGCTGAAAATTCTGGGGCAATGAAGAATATTCATAGTATTTTCATGAGGGTGGGGTGGAGGTAGTTAAAAAACATTATTTTTCAAGCATGGCACCTATTCTTCTAGGATCCCTCTAGAAGTTAAACTAGCCCCCATGATACTGGCTTTCAATATGCTCTTTCACAATCACCATTTGTTCTTTTCCATTTTATTTTTATTCTTATAGTTGGTTTTGGTGTTTTGTTTGGGGTTAGCCCTGATGTTTTCAGAGTTATAAAGTAAATTGTTAATTGCTTTGGGTTTTTTTCCTTTTCTTATCATGAAGGTTTGATTACATACATATATTTTTGATAGGACAGATGTTTTATTGTATTTCATTTTATTGTAAGCTGCTGAGAGTTTTAAAGGTTTGGCAGCATACAATTTTAATAATAACAACAATAACAATAACACAAAGTTGACTTTTTCTCTCCAAAAAAGAATTTTATTTTTAGTCATGCCTAAAGAGGACCCATTAAAATCAATTAATGGATCAATGAAACTATTCTCTCTTTTATTTTAATGGATCAAAACTATTGAGAAGCCTGGGTCCAGTCCAGTTTGTGCTCATTTTATTGCTTGCTCTACCATGTTAATCCATAATATCTTTGGAAACTTCCTTTAGGAACATTAAAGCATACTATTTCTACAAAGCCATAGCAAAAACTCAAAAACATTTGGAAAAGGTACCATAAAAGAAAAAGTTATAAACACAGAAAACTGATATACAAATCTGTTTTAAATCACATTATGGGGCCATCAGTGTGATTCCGTTTATTAGCACTCCAAGGCCTCAGGCAACTGAATTTCCCAGCTCTACTACTTAAGAATCTTTTAACCAAACACTATTCAGGACTGAATCTGGTACTTTCTCCATGTAAATTATGTATTCCAACACTAATCCATGCTTTTTTTTTTTTTTTGTCTAGGTAACAGCCATAAAACTTCAGTGGACAAGTATTCAGTAAATCTAAAACTAAGTATTTTTTTTTCAAAAATACATCTCAATTGGCAAGGCCAACTTCTCTCATTTTTATACAAAGAGTTTGTTAAAATCATGATAAAAGGGGCAAGAAGAAAACCTGTTGATCCTTTGTAGAAAAGTATCTGCTGAGCAGATGCTTTAGGACTGTGGAACAGAGTTAATTCCAGCAAAGAATACAAAAGCATTTCCAATCAGTGGCAGTAATGTGCCAGGAATGTAAAACAGAGAACTGATGATAATCCAGTTCATGAATCATAAAACCCATATGGAATAGAAGCATTTGAAAACATTATTAGGAAATCCTACTCTCTTTCTGAAGTCAGATGTAGAGGATGTGCACAATATCCAAGCTATTTAAGGACTAACATGCTGTTCTATGCCTCAAGTCCTTTTACAAGGGCACATTCTACTACCCACAAAAAAAATATCAGAATGTAAAAGAACTGCTTCTTGATTGTATAGAAGCTTTCAATTAAGTGTCTAATTTTAGGTGACTCAAATAGAAAGAAAATTCTTGACTTCAGTTTGCTTTGGGGGCCAAATGAGATCAGCCAAATATGCTTCCAAAACCTATTCTAACATCAGCAAGTTTACAAAACGACTCTACATGTTTCACTAACTAATAGAAAAAAACCAAATACCACTAATGAATGCCATGTATCCCGTCATGAAAAACATTCTTGAGTTCTCGGGGGCAGGGAGGAATCATCTTAGGAAGCACTGACTATGCCAGATGATACCCGTAGAATGTTAAAAAATATCATTTAAGGGGGTAAGACAAATCCTGCTTAAAAATATAATGATACTGGTCTTTTATGGATTTTTTTCCTCTTTAACACTGTTTTTCTTCTTAAGCCCTGCTTTTCTTCTTCTTTTTTCCTATCCAATTGAGATATAAATATTCCTTTTATTTTCATACATTGGATTATATTCAGTGATAACTTTGCAGTGACAGAAAACATACCTATGCAAGAGTAGATACTTATTTCAAGGAACTCCTCCTACGGAATGCAACTAACGGCTTCCAAAGAGTCACTTCCAAGCACTGGGGACTATTCTTATACAGTGCATTGTGTTGTTCAGAGCACTTCATAATAAGCAGGCTAGAGTAGTAAAAACTAGATGCTTTACTTGACATCAGCAGAAGAGTTTTCTATGCAAAGTTTCAATTGGATACAATCCAATATATAATCCAAGTGCTTTGGAGGGAGTCATAAAATTACTGCCTTTTTGGATAAACCAAATACCACATAATTAATGATGCTTCTTTTAAAATAGGCAACTAGAACTGCAATTCTATGTATGAGATATTTATAAAGCAGTTAAATCTCATTAGATACACACAGATTTGGTGTCTGTCTGTATATGTATGTGTGTGTGTATATGTGTTCATACTTACTAGCTGAAAGTTCTCATTTTTCAAACTGAAGAAATATCAAGAATAATTTACCTCATTCATATTTATAGATATTTAATTATTAACATAATTTAAAACTCTGAATGAGAATCCCACCTGTACAAAATATTTTCACTTACAAGATAGTCAGCTTCTTTAAAAACTCTGGTGTTTTTTTTTATGAATGGAAGCATCCCTAAAAAATATATCTAGCTTATTCATATGTTAGTTGCATGTAACCTTAAAACTCTAATTCTGAAGCTACACCAATAACTCAATGATTTCTTTCTTTTTGAATAGCAGTCACTGGCCCCCAAATGTGAATCCATTTGAATTCATATATCATAATTTGAACTTTGGCAGTTAATTGACAAATCATTTCCCTTTCCTCAGTAAAGTAAAGTAAAGTAAAGTAAAGTAAAGTAAAGTAAAGTAAAGTAAAGTAAAGTAAAGTAAAGTAAAATAAAATGAAGTAAAATAATCATTATCTACATGTTCAAAATTCAGACTTCAGCTATTTCAAGCCAAAAAGAAATATGTAAAATAGTTTACATATTCTTAAGTAATCCAAATACTTTATATATTTCTTTTGTTTTTTTGCTAATATTTTCTGCCTTCAATTTAATTCACTTCTTCTCTAGAATAAAAAGTCATGATTTTTCTGTTTACTGTTTCTCTTCTGAACATTTTTTATCCACATTTTCTGTTCATTCTCTTTTCTAGTCTTCACCATCTTTTCCAAAATTCATTTGTATAATATTGCATGTCACCTTCTGTCTTTATGGGATTTTTTTTCTAAA